AACATTCATGTTAAATCTTTAACCCCCAGTATCTCAGAATGTGCCTGTATTTGAAGATGGGGCATTTAAGGGGTAATTAAGTTAAAATAAGTCTGTTAGTGTGGGCCCTAATACAATCTGACTGGTGCCCTTATAGGAAGAGAAAATTTGGGTGCACAAGAGATACCAGGGGCTTGAGTGAGCGCAGGTGAGGAGGCTGTAGGAGCGCAACCATCAGCAAGCCAAGGAGAGGAGCCTCAGGAGAAACCAAAACCCAGAAAATAAATTCCTGTTGCTTAAGCCATCCGGTATGTGGTATTTTGTTACGGCGGCCTTAAAAAACTAATACAGATGCTAAAATGATGAATAAGCCCACCATTCTATTAAACTTAAGAAACACATACAGGGACGTAGAAGGAGCTACACTGTGGGTCCTGGAGCCATAAATCTCAGCTGATGAAATGGAGAGAATCAAGCCTCCTGGGAGGAGGCGGGTCATACATAGTTTGAAAAAAAACACAAAAATTACTTTGAATTTTCTTCTCTCCCCATTTAGAAACAATGTGTTGGATCCAACCATATGCAAATTATGTCACTACTTCTCTGGTCACTCATCTGATTCTATTCACACTTTTATAGTGAGTTCATGTATAGTTTCACCAACTAGCATATACACATTACCACTAGGGATCTGTGTTATGTATAATACTGAAAATGACTCTACTCCTTCCCTTCTATTTACATCCAAAATTTGAGCCCTAGCCAGTTTTGCTCAGCAGTTAGAGCATCAGCCTTCAGACGGAAGGGTCCCGGGTTCGATTCTGGCCAAGGGCACATATCTCGGTTTCAGGCTCGATCCCCGGCCCTGTCAGAGAGAGTGCAGGAGGCAACCCATCGATGTTTCTCTTACATCAATGTGTTTCTCTCTCTCTCTCTCCTTCTCTCTCTCCCCCTTCCACTCTCTCTGAAAAGCAATGGAAAAAATATCCTTGGGTGAGAATTAAAAAATAAATTAAAAAAAACAAAATTTGATACCAATTTACCATTTACTTTCTCTCTCTTCTGGCTTATAAATTACCCACCCTGTTAAAAGGCATAGCAATGACAATACCAGGTTTCAGCTGCCCACTATGTTCCCATCCATTCCATCTCTTAAATATGTTCAAAGCATTAACAGCAAGTTGTATTGCATACTAGAGACAGCTGGGTTTCAGGGAGAGGTAAAATGTTTCATCATCTTACTCTACTGCCCAAGACAAATGTGCTATTGTATTACATGTGCAATGTCGTCTTTGAAGCCTATTAAGGGTATGCTGTGAGGTAAGCCACCTGGAAAATACAGTGTAGACTAGAAAATAATCATAAGCCAGTTTATTGCTCTTTTTTCCAGTTAAGCCTACCATGGCCACTGCTAAAAACAGTGTAATATAAAGAGTAGACACTCTGAAGCCACACAAGTTAGACGCTACCTCCGACAGTGATTAACCAGCATGCAAGTTACTTAACTTCTCTGATACTTCTGTTTTGTCTGTAAAATTGAGATGCTACTGCATGTTGCATACGGGTTTTATGAGGATTGAATGAAATAATACTTGTAAAGCACTTGGAACAGAGTAGACAAGAAGTGTAATGTCTCTTCTCTTCTTTTAAATATAGAGGATATTTAATATTCTTTACCTAAAAAATACTAGATAATCCAATAATATTTGGAAACCATGTTGAGTGAGCACTTCAGTTTTGTAAAGAAGTCCCTCGAGCTTCCATGTGATTTTCTTTGAACTTCAGGGAAGAAAAGGCTTTGGAAAATCAAGTTTGAAGATTCCTGGGGAATCCTCAGCCTGGAGAGGATCAGGACCACCCAGACAAGCCGAGGCGGAAGGCGCTGTCCGTGGTGCTAGGAACCGCCATACCCCTGGCAGCGTTTCCCCGCCCAAAGTTCTTTGCCAGGCAGCTTGCCCAGCGAAGCTCATGTGTATGGCTCGTGGTAGAGTCTCAGTCATTCTTCCCACTGGTTTTTCACCTGTCTTACCACCCTTTATCTATGTCCTCTTCGACTATATATATATTTATTTATTTATATATATTTATATATAAAATCTTATATATATTTTACATATATATAATCAATATTTATATATATAAATAAAATCTTCCATCTCCTTATCACCTCAAAATAGTTTTTCTTTTTCAGACACTGTCCATGCCCACCACTTAAAAAGGTGGCTCAAAAATTGTCTCGGGCTATCTTTTCATAACCTCTTTAAGTTTCAGAGAAATCCGTGGCGAGAACACAGGAAACAGTTAGTTTCCAACGCATTCTTTAAAGACTCTCTTCAGCTGCCAACTCCTCTAAGAAACTTTCCCTGCAACCTCATCTTGACTTAATTTCCCTTCTTCCTTATTTCCAAAGTACCCTGTAAATACAAGTCTAAGTCAAATTATCATATTAAACTGAAGCTCTCTATTTTATTTGCTTTGAGTGCCATTAGGGAAAGTGTCTTAAAAGCTAAGACCTATATCTTATTCAGGTGTGGATTCCTGGACACGCCGAGCTACGTTTGGTTGAACTAAATTTAATTACTGGATTCATTAGAGGGAAGGTATCAACAACATGCCTTTATTTTTATTTTTTATTTTAAAAAAATTAATAATGACATTATTGCAGGAGTCCCCATCACCCCTTTGCCCACCTCCACCCTCTCCCATGTCCCCCAACAACGTGCCTTTTATGGGCAACCTGCCTTGTGACATTTGGCTGTGCGCTGAATTTTGTAGTAGCTAGGCTGTTCTAATACATTCTGGACTGAGCTCCTTTGCCACCATGTCCATCTATATCAGTCCAGTGACCCAGCCCCTGAGGGTGACTAACAAAGAGCCCATGCCATGCATTTTAAAGAGTCTGCCTTCCCGCTGTCCGTCTTTCCTCTGTCTCCTCCCTTCCTCCTACATATCTGCAACCCCCAACACGCTGCATGGAGGCTGGCCCCAGAGACTAAACAAAAACAGTTCATTCGTGCTTTTCATCCTAAAGTAGACTCCCATTCGTCTGGCCAGACCAAGGAACAGAGCCACCATCCACACACAAAAGGACAATTTCTTTTTCCAAATAAGAGTAGAGGCTCAAATAAGAGTAAAAGGTAGAGGAACTAAAAACCCTGGAGCCTAAGAAACGCAGGCAGGGCCAGGGAGAAATCCCTGTCACTAGTACCTCCTCCTTCCCTTCCCCAGCCAGGTGGATTCCCACTCCCTTGGTCAGAATGTCTTCAGCCCTAACCAGCACTTCCATACAGGCCCTCCTTCCTTTAAAGAGCTCTTCCTCGGCGACTTGAGGGGAGGGGAGTCCAAGCCAGGGCGTGCTAGCAGTAACATACGGAGTCTCATTTGTAAGTAAGCAAGCCATTGCCCTCCCTTTAAGAGCCCTCCTCCTTGGCACTCTGAACCAGAAACGATCTGGTGATTGAAAACTATTCAGTGTTAGGAGAGACCCACTTTTGTGTAGTTCCTCACCAGAGTTTTTAGGCAACAGGCACAAAACTTGTGGTTCTCTTCCTCTTTCAATCATGAGTCAGCTATAATTTTTTTTTTTTTTTAATCTTTAAAGCAATGCATTAAGGCAAACTCACCTAGGAAGATCAGGAAGAAAAGAAAAGCACTTGGCCTTTAAATCTTCAGAAGAAGACTTAATGGCAGGTTCAGCTTGTTTAATGACAGGGCCAGCACCACACCCCTGTTTTATTGTGTTTCATTATTGCTGCATAAGTTTCCTTTATTACCCACGACACATAAAAATCAAATACTTGCTGGGGGTGAGTTTTAATGGGTAAGAGTGCAAACAAAAACTGTTTAAATATCATGAAAGTGAGATCTCAGATTCTTAAAATGTGTATTTATAATTTTAAGTATCTAATGTGTTGTCACTCTCAATCTAAAGGTGGTTCTTTTTTTAAAGGATTGTGCCCATAACTCAAAGATGAAAATAATAAAAAGCACATCCAAAACAGGATCCTCAGGATTTTTCTCAGAGACTGATTTTTGACTCATTAACTGGAAGACACACCCAGAAGGAAACTGCTGAGGTCGATGGGAGATGTGAAGTTAGCGAAGTTCAAGTACTGCCTGGGGATGAGTTTAACCTGCAAGACAGGTGCAGAGCTGTCAACGTTCAGGCATCCTAAGAGGAGACCGAGTGATTTTCAAAGCCTTTCTCTCAGCTATTGATTCTACAGTAAGGAGCAACTAACGTCTGCAGCGTGAAACCAGCTGGCCCAGGTCTGAAATGCTCTGCTCGGCTTGCAGAGGGAGGGGCTCGGCGTATTGATTCAACATTTCCAGAACTCTAGCCANCCACTCCGCGACCTTCGCCGCCGCGCGCCGGGGTCGCTGTGGCGCTCGATCCCGCGCTCGGTCCTGCGCTCTCCAGCAGCCGCCGTTGCGCAAGGCGCCTCTTCCCGGGAGCGAGCTGGGCGCGTCCGCTAATTCGCCGTCGCCAGGGGAAAGCCCGATTTAGGACCGCGGCGCTTGGCTTTTGCGAGGGCTCCCAAGTCACAGAAAGACGGCGGGAAGGGGACTTGACTGGAGCTGAGCGGAGCTCTCCCGGGGAGGAGAGTGCGCCCGGGCGGCGTGGGAAGGGACGGGGGAGTGTCGTGGAGCTCACGGACGGCGGTGGGTCATCCGGGCCAGCTTTTGTCTGGTGTCTGCGAAATGTGGGAAGAGAACAAGATCATGCTCGGCGGTGACAGCGGCGACGCGGGCCTGGCGAGCGCCGCGGCGCGGGGGCAAGTGGAGACCGTGCGGCAGCTCCTGGAGGCCGGTGCGGATCCCAACGGAGTCAACCGCTTCGGGAGGCGCCCGATCCAGGTAGATGGGGCCCTGGGGCTGCGTCGGCAGGGGGCGCACGAACGCGGGGCAGCGGCCTCCGAGAGACGCGTCTGGCACGAAGGTCTCCACTGTTTCTAGCTAGAGGTGTGGAGCCCAGAAGGGAACCAAAAATCCTAAAGAAAGGGAATGGAAAACCCACTGCATCAGTTTGGTGTTCTTTTTAATGATGGGAAAAATATCAGTATATCCTCTCCCTTCTCAAGATCAGAGATGTGTTGTCTGTATGCCTACTTTCAGCGACAGAGATAAATTACAATTTACACATTCTGGATTGGATTTAAGGAATCACACAAAATCGTAGCACATGAGAAAAAAATCACCGTGAACTTCTAAGCTGCGATATGAAATTACTTTGTATTCTTTTTCTAAAGGTGAATTGAATCAAGGAACCAGACAGGATTCCTAAACCACAATACTTATTCCTTTTATGTTAGCATTATCTCTTGAGCATTACATAAGAAAATATGCATCTATGGATTTTTATTGTTTAATTACCATGCTGAATGCTTGGATTAAAAAGCACACCTCCCCCCCTCCACGACTGTTAGGTACTTTTTAAATGGAAAAGAGTCTTCATAAATAATTAGCCTCGTCATTGTTAAGATACATTTATTCAATATGTTTCTTATCCCNAAAGAGTCTTGATAAATAATTAGCCTCGTCATTGTTAAGATACATTTATTCAATATGTTTCTTATCCCCGCTTTAATTAGTACTGATATATTTTTAACTCCTCTAAAATCTAAGGTAATGTTTTTGTGCTTTACTGTTGACTATTATGGTCATATCTAGTACTCATCTCACCATCACCTTCCAGAACCAAGCATCTATTAACAAATCTTGTTAATAGTGTAGATTTTAAAGAAAAAAAATGTGTTCACTTCTTTAGAATTCTTAGAAAAGTGTTACAGGTAATGAGGGAAGGTTCAGAACAGCAAAAATTATGGTAAAGTAGTTCTTAAAGATTTCAAATTATACTAATAATTATATAAATAGGCTTTATTCATAGTTTTAATTCATCATTTTCTGGGATATTAAAAAACCACTCCCCCCCCCCTTTTCTCTATATGTGAAACAGCCTTTATATTGCTAGTAGGAATGATAACATATCTTGATTTTAAAGCAAGGAATTGGATCCTTCTAATATTTGTGAAACAAAACAAAACAAATTAGTATACTATCTTTCAATAACCTGGTACATTTTAATACACAAAGTCACAAGAACAAATAATTCCATTTTAGATATTTAATTGTCAAAATTGTTTCATTGTTAAAATAAGGAAGTAAATGCTTGCATAATGTATATGTATACATATGGGTACTATAGGATTACTGCCCCAAACATCCTTTTTCTGTTATACATTGTTCTGATTCAACTACTGACATCCAAGTTCTTTTCATATAGCAAAACATTTACTGTTTAACATTATAAAATCCTAGCACATTATAAAATCCTGTACAATATAAATGCAGTGTTTATTTTACATGTTACATTAAATAGATCACCCTCTAAACTTTGGCCCTTCTCTATAACATTAAGTTAAATGTTAAAATGATGAACCATTTATTACCAACAAGTTTCTTTTCATTATTTTATCAAACAATGTGTGACTTTCTTTACTTTTCCCCCTATATCTCCAATTTTTGCTCAAAAATTGCAGGACTATGTTAAATTTATAAGCACAGACATACATGGCTAAAAAGCAAAGGCCTTCCACAGGGGATTTACTGAGAACTAAACAAAGCAAACCTTATTTTAAATTTAGTTTCTTCTTTTCTCCCCTAAAGTATCACACTAACTTCTGATCTGTATCAGCTGACTCCCTGATAAAGATTTTTACACCTGGATTATGAAGGGAGGAGGGAGCAAGGGAAATAATTTAAGATTTTAAAAGCCTTTAAACTTAATTCCACCTATGTCACTTCACAAAAGAGATTCCCACGTTCAAATGGAAATCAATTGTTTTCTTTTTCCTCACAGTGACAACAAGCCCTGTATCATCAGCTCTTTCTTGTCTGGGCAAGTCTGGAGAATAACCTGAATCTTAATTAGTAAACAATATACACGGAGGGGGTGGGGAGACTGGGGAGGGAGAAATGTTGCGTCAGCAAATGAAGCTGAACCAGACACCCGAGGCTGGGGAGCACCTCTGCCTTAAGTGGGCACTTCAGGAATAGGTATTTCTTTGGAATGGTTCTGCCTGTCCCTCCCTAGGCCTGGATCTCGCTTGCCCCTCGCGCTGACCACTGCGCTCTCCCCCGCAGGTCATGATGATGGGCAGCACCCGCGTGGCCGAGCTGCTGCTGACCCACGGCGCGGACCCCAACTGCGCGGACCCCGCCACCCTCACCCGCCCCG